TTCTAAATTATGTATTAAACTTCCAAATTAATAGTCTCAGCTTTCTCTAATACAAAATTTCAAAATTCCGCCTTTTATGCCAATCATCACACTAACGCCTTCACTCTTACTTTATCCTTAACAGAAGGACGAGCGGGCATTACCTGGGGACCTTCTAGCTATAAGATGCTCTTTCTCCCCCCCAGATATCGAAGTGTCTCTCACTTCTCCCCCACCAATTTCCTCTTTCTCTCTATCTCTGGTTACAATCACGTTAACACAGTAGAATTCTACCTGTTCATTTTATAATGGCGTACTTTTAACTTCGTTACTATCTTTAAATATGAATACTGTTTTTATGTTGGTAATATTACACATAGGCATTAAATTAAAACTGAGCTAAAGATCAAAAGAATATATTAAAATAATTTTTTTATGAAACGGTACAGCGGAATGTCTAACCAAAACTACATGTTACGATATGCAAATAGAAGACAACTTACCAGGCAGTAGATGGCATTAGATTAAAATGTAGAAACGTCATGCATTCTGGTGTAAAGATGGTGAATGTTGTCACAGAGAATCCTTTGTGATGTAAGGATTCTACCCCTGATCTGTAAGAAAAATATATAATTATCAACATTCAAATACTAAATCGTAATTTAAAAAAGTAGACACTTGAAAAATATGAATATTAAGATTTTTTTTTAATTATAACTTGTTAAACTTTCGGATCACAGTACGTCTTACAGCTTCACAATTTGAATTTTTAGTTTATATCCCACTCGAGAAAGACGTAAGTGTGTATGCATTTCTATGCCTTACATCGGTTGCCCTGTGTACGCAGAGGCCATGCGAAGGGCTGACTCTCCATCCAAGGAGGATTAATAAATGTCTAAGAGGATTTATAACTTCAGAAGTAATAATCTAGTGGAAAATACCACAAAGGAAAAATCTAAAAAGAACATAAAATCAGAAAATTTTAATTCCTTCTTGCTTTCTGTCTCTAAATTTTGGTCAGAGAACACGCGTTGTCTGCTCAACAACTGTTGATACTGTTAACATTCTTCCATCTTCGTCTTATCGAACACTGTGGGTACTAACCTCCCAGCTGGTCAACTCCCTTCAATTAAAAATTTGTTACACATTCTCAAAAAAAAAAAAACTGCTTTGCTCAGTACATCTGTATATCCGCGTGTAACAAACGCCTCAAGAACTGATCAACGCATGGAATCCGATACTGAAAGAGTTTTACTAAAATCTGTAGATAAATTAAAATTCCTGTTAAAATCGGACAAATTTATATAAAATCCAAAAATAAATTAAAATTCCTGTTAAAATCGGACAAATTTATATAAAATCCAAAAATAAATTAAAATTCCTGTTAAAATCGGACAAATTTATATAAAATCCAAAAATAAATTAAAATTCCTGTTAAAATCGGACAAATTTATATAAAATCCAAAAATAAATTAAAATTCCTGTTAAAATCGGACAAATTTATATAAAATCCAAAAATAAATTAAAATTCCTGTTAAAATCGGACAAATTTATATAAAATCCAAAAATAAATTAAAATTCCTGTTAAAATCGGACAAATTTATATAAAATCCAAAAATAAATTAAAATTCCTGTTAAAATCGGACAAATTTATATAAAATCCAAAAATAAATTAAAATTCCTGTTAAAATCGGACAAATTTATATAAAATCCAAAAATAAATTAAAATTCCTGTTAAAATCGGACAAATTTATATAAAATCCAAAAATAAATTAAAATTCCTGTTAAAATCGGACAAATTTATATAAAATCCAAAAATATTCTCTCCCCTCCCTTCGCCTTGCGATTTTCTAAACTTCTAACCATCTCCAAATTAATATATACATCACAAAATAATGTCGTTCTACGAAGTTAATTACGAGTTTATCAAATCTATTTGTATGTTCATTAAATTTTCATACAATAAAAATACCTTAAAAGGCTGGGTAAAAATCTGCAGGTATCAGTAAATTTTGGAATAAGTAAGTCAGTTTCTCAGTTGGCAACAGAGACACTTTTAGCCTACAAATAAGTTGCCGAACTTTAACACGTCCAATAATTCAAATTTAGGAACACTGAGACTTAGCGAGGGTGTGCAACTGTTGCCAACTTTACAACAAAACTCCTTTCAAATCTAAACTTTCTTCGGCGTGCCTTGAGCTTTGAGCTCAAGAATAAAATGTCAGAAGATAAGTTATTCTCAAATTAGGGTCTCAAAATATCTGATTCCCTCTATGCAGATAAAGGCACAGAGACGCAATATTTCTGGGGAAAATAGACCGAAATCAGAGAGGAAGAATCAGTTTCTAACCACACAGAGAACTAGAAGTTTACGCGTTTTCGCCACTTTAGATAATCTTTGGAAACTTCGGAGCGGGCACGTCTGACGTAGTTTGTCCAGAATTGCGAGGCGCCGCGGAGTACGACATAAAACTAACTTACCAGGGGTAGCAACATCAACACCGACGTATGTAACAGACGAATAAAATAAAGGAAGTACTTAATAAGATTGATATAAGCCGGCATCACGGAGGAAATACCGAACAGCAGGCAGGTATATTAATTAATTTTAAAAAAATATATGTAAAAATACGTGTTAAACAATTTTTTTTAAATAAAGCAGGTATGTGTAACTGATACACGAAATTTAGAACCAGAAAAAAATAATAATTACGCGACATGTAAATAATTATTTTAATAAAATAATTAATTAAATAAATTGATACACGAAATTCAGAACCAGAAAAAAATTAATAATTACGCGACATGTAAATAATTATTTTAATAAAATAATTAATTAAATAAATATATTTAAAATGCAAACTCAGTGTTTTAATTTATTTCAAGACACTAATTGAGCAACAGACTTTATCATTGGGAGAAAGAGAGAACTAATTCTGAAAACAAATTAAAAATATATCAAAATTAGCCGTCAATCACAATATAATATTATTAAAAGATTAAAATATCATTTTACGTTCCCTATCGAGTACTCGATTTACATGTATATATTTTTAATACTATATAAATCACAATATGACGCATCTACAATATCTTCTGAAAACAAAGTTGTAATAAAGACACCCATATTGGATCTAACACAAAGAATTGGAAATATAATAAGACGTAAACAGTAACATACTCAAAAAATTTATTGAATTTGTTCTTTTATGTCCATACGAAATTCGATCTCTCATTTTCAAGAAAGTGACTAGCGTAGAGATTTCGATAACGAAAATACAGGAGCGTGTGAAGGGGAGAGGGGCACGAGGTTAATGAACAACGCTGCACTATTAGAGACTTCCCAATTTATAATAGTCACCTAATAGTCTATCATTAAGGCGATTGACTGATGAGAAATTCAGCACTCATAATTTTGGGTAGGAAGACGCGAAAGGGAGAAAAGATGGCAGACCCCAGAGAGGATAATAATTAGACAAAATCCTAGAGAAAGAGGTTTCTGATGAAATTCTCTCAAAATATGATCAAATAGCGAGTTTACGTGAGCAAGGTAATGAATCACTAAATTTCTTAGCCAGAGAGCGTCTCAAAAGA